TACATCATTATATTTATATTTATCTGTATTCATGAATGCAGGTTTTGGACAGAGAGGGGGCTGGGTCTTCGCTCAATATTCTCCTGGGAATGACATGGCTATACGGCGTCGTCAGTCGTCAAAATCCTCGAAGACCCACAATCATCAACCTGTCGCTGGGTGGAGAGTACAGCGACACCATGAACCAATATGTCCAGACAATGGCCGAGGTGTGTTCTGATCTCATGTTTATATTTATATATATATATATATGATTATGGATATGTATATATATATATGAATTTGTGCCCGTGCCTGTGCCTGTTTGTGCGTGTGTGGTGCTTCTGTATTGAATGGTCTGAAAGTGTTCACGCGTTACAAACTGTCCGCTGTATTTACATACCACCGTAGGCATTGATATGATCTTCGTAGTACTCTGGCCAATTCCACATACATCCCTATCACCTGCCCACACTAATCCGGACTAACACCCCACTATCAACCACAGTCATGCATCCCTATCACCTGCCCACACTAATCCCGACTAGTACCCCACTACCAACCACAGATCGGCATTCTCGTGGTGACTGCGTCGGGCAACAGTAACAGTGACGCGTGCCTGGAGAGTCCTGCGAGTGCTGCACTGGCCATCTCCGTCGCCTCGTCCGGGCGCACGGATGAGTTCAGCAGCTTCAGCAACTGGGGTGCGTGTGTGGATGTAATAGCCCCGGGAGAGAACATCCTCAGTGCGTCGTACACGGGAGAGGGTGCGTTGATTAAGAGTGGAACGTCACAGGCGTGTCCGTTGGTGGCGGGGTTGGCGGCTATCTTCTGGGAGAGCAGTCTGCGCAATGGCACTAATGTTACTATACAGCAGCTGGCCGAGACTATGAGTAAGTGGCATGCATCTGCTGCGTGAATGTGTTGGGTTGTGTGCTATGGTCTGTATAATATATATATATATATCTATATATTCTCTACGCTCATTGCTGAAAAAATACGCTACCATTCTCCATTTGTTCACTAATAGCATTTCCGAAAACCCCCCCTTATCAACAGAAAACAATGTGAACACCAACCTCATCACCAACACGCCAGAGGGCACCGTTAATAGCTTAGCCCATGCCAGTGCCTGTTCACAGCCACGCGTTAACTCAGCCGTGCGTATGCCCATGTCTGTGGGACTGTTTGTGGCTGCGGCCCTTGTCTCTGTAGCACTGCTGGCGTAGTGTTAGTACTGTCCCTGTCACTCGCATTGGCCTGCTGCACGGGTGAGCACTCGCTGCCGTTCTATGCTGCTCGGTGGTGTGTGTGTTGTGGGTGTGGGTGTGATCACGCTTCGTCAACCTGTGCGTGCTAATGGCAGATGGTGTGCACACGCACCCGAGAAAATCCATTGGCGGTCGTGTCTATCCTGACAGTACATTTATAACCCGTGAGAATGAACCATGCTGAGTGCGTTGAGCTGCAAGGGAAGAGTCTCCGAGTGCATGTGTATGCCCCAAGCACTCGCTGTGGCATTGATGGTCTGTTCCCTGAACGCCACAGTAGCTTGGCACGGCCATCTTGGTTGACAATAGTCACCGAGTCTCTCACTAGAGGTGATTAGTCCCAACTGATTCGTATGAGATTGATTCCTGTCACCTGTCATTAATATACACTGTCTTGACCTGTCATGAATTGACACTGTCTTGACCTGTCATGAATTGACACTGTCTTGACCTGTCATGAATTGACACTGTCTTGACCTGTCATGAATTGACACTGTCTTGACCTGTCATTAATTGACACTGTCTTGACCTGTCATGAATTGACACTGTCTTTGCATGAGCTGCAATGACTGCAAGCGCAACTGTGCACAGCCACAGCTTCTGAGTATGCCTGTAGGCGTCACATGCCACTGTGAGTGTGTCTGTGGACCTCACTTGCAAAGGTTGCGATGCTTTGGCCGGCGCTCACAGTGTAGTTCGTACACACCCGAAAGCCTTCGGTAGGGATTACTACATTGAGCGTCCAGTAGTGATTACCAAATAAAACCTTCATTTATTACGTCCTTTCCATTAGCCTTGGGAAGGAATGGATTATTACGCAATAGGCCGATTGATTATTACGCAAATTTTTGCAATCACGCAGCACCATTGATACACTCGTGGGCTGGCAATTTGTAGTCGATGTCAAACGCTTGCGAGAGCTATTTGAACGTGTTCCTTTCGGTCTATAGCAACGGGACAGATGAACACCGTGTTGTGTGTGTGTGTGATTCTGACACAGATCGAGATGAACCCCAGGCACTAGGGTGGACCATAGCTATGACGCCAAGAATTTCAACCCAAGCGAACTTAATCCATTCGCTTACCGCAGAGAATGCTCTAACACACGCAAAAAGGCTTATTTTTTTGGCCTTTATGTGCGGCTTCTATGTGCTTGACAAAGTTCTATATTGGCCAGTACGTAACAACCCGATGTGTGTATGCCAAATAAAACACAAAGCGTATTATACTACGCAGACACTCACAAATAGATCTTTGTACTATCACCAATTTGACGCATTGGGAAAGTATATAGAATCGGCCCCGATTATTTGATATGCTGCTCCCGGGCAACATATGCAGAGACAGCCGATGAGTATTGTGTGCGACTGTTGTCCTTGAGCTGAATGGGCTTTACAATGGTAAGGGAGACGACAGAATTTCATAAATAAGGTGGTACAAGAGACTGGGAATTCATGTTACTTTCAAGATAGTACAACAAGAGACAGGGAATTCACAAGTTACTTTCAAGATAGTACATCAAGATATAGGGAATTCATAAGTTACTTTCAAGAAAGTACAACAAGAGACAGGGAATTCATAAGTTACTTTCAAGATAGTACGATAAGAGACAGGGAATTCATAAGTTACTTTCAAGATAGTACAACGAGAGACAGAGAATTCATAAGTTACTTTCAAGATAGTACGAGAGACAGGGAATTTATAGGTTACTTTCAAGATAGTACAACAAGAGACAGAGAATTCATTCAAAATTTATTTGTGCTATATAGAACAGTCGCGGAAGACTTGGGAATATAAGTAAAAAATAGCATGGCAAGTACAATGAAACATATCAGCAAGGGTGTATCCTAAGTAATTATATTCCGTAGCTACTACTAAGCGGTTGGGTGATATAACACAGTGTCTAGCTCATAGAGTTTCAGGTGGGTGACGTGCACAGTTTCTTAAATCGGTTTTCAGTCGTGGGTGGCTGTAGTGATAGGGTAGTAGGTGTAAGCCAAGAGACCTAAGACAGTGTACGCACTGAAATGTATGTATGTTTGTATTTAGTTGTATGTTTGTATTTAGTTGTATGTTTGTATTTTGGTATACTTTTATTTGTCTTGTGGCTTGGCTCGTTTGTTTTTTTTCCAATCAACCCTAAACCCTAAAGTAAAAGGTTCCGAACTTCGTTCGCTAATACAGCATGACTCATTGGTCGTATTTAGTAGGCCTCTAAAGTCTACAGTCTACACTCTACTGAGAATTTATAAATATTTAGGTCGGACGTACGTCCGAACAATTTATCATGACGAAATCATAAATCCTCTCCATCCTAGCCCAGTGCCTCAGTGGTGATTTATTATTTTAACATTGACATTATCATACCGCTCTCTCTCGTATAACTAAGAACCGCATACTGCGAGTGAGTGCCATAAACCTACACACCCAACTACGTCCTCACATAATCATAATGTCTCGATCATTGTTAGCGTCATGGTGCATACGCGGAGGTGCGTCTAGAGCACATCTTATGGTACAGCGTTCGGCTCGGTATGTAGTAATTGCGTGGTTCGTGCGAGTGTCTTTGAGTATTGGATTTGGATGGGATGGAATGAAGTGGTATGGAGTGGGTCCGTTGCACTTGTTGAGTTGAGCTGAGTTGATTTAGCTGGTGTCATACAAGCATCTCGCGGTGTGCACCATTTTTTTGTACTGGTTTGCGCATATAGGTATGAACATATATATATATATACATATACATGTATAAGAATGCTTAAATACACGCGGTCAAATCAAAGTATAAGATCTTTTTAAATGCCTACAGAAAGGTTTACACGTACACACCACGTATACCGATGCGGTCGATGTTAGCAGCTATGCACAGGCGACGCCTGGTCTCGTTTCCCGTATTGCACACCACATGGTTAATCTCATTACACTGCTGGACTGTCTATACCTTCGGTCCATCGCTGAATCAGATACTCTCGTGTAGCTGTATTCTTCTGAGTGCGTTGACGTGTACATACAGGGCTTGTGTGGTGCATCTCTCATTCACTTCGCTCACACTCGTTAGACCTGTACCGTCTTTGGGCTTGTTTCTGTTGCACTGCATCTGTTTTTGTCCATGCTGTAACCATTGGTTTCTTTTCGTTGGGGCATTTCGTAGCACGTACATTGGGGTTTGTTAAAACCATTTACACTAAAGGTTTGGCGAGTGTCACGTGGTCGCTACTTACTATGTTGCACTGAGGCGTGCAGTTGTTCGCCTTTACTTTGTATTTCTTATCGTCCTATCCATTTCGTTGGGATGGTTCACTTAATCGGTACCCTTGCCGTATATTGCTCATCATCGCTTCTCCCTTGTATTGGGTTTGTTCACTTAATGCATCTCCTTTGTATTGGGGTTGTTTACTTGATCGGTGCCCTTGCCTTGTAATTGCCTTGTATTTCTCATCCTTGTACGCATCTCCCTTGTATTGGGGTTGTTCACTTGATCGGTGCCCTTGCTTTGTATTTGTCATCCTTGTACTCATCTCCTTTGTATTGGGGCTGTTCCTTCTAGTGCTGCTCTGGGAGCCCCTCGGATGTTATCGTCAATGTCCCGAGCTTCCCTTCGCCCTGGCGTCTCTGCGCTCAGAGTTAATCCTTATGCAGGTGTGTATTCAACGCAACGGCCGTGCTCAGAGACTATTGCTGGTTGTTTTAAGGTGTTAGTCTGTCTATTGTGTTAGTCTTTCTATTGTGTTGATCTGGTATGATGTAGTTGATACGTGATGAAGGCTCCCGTACCACGCACCACACAGGGGTCTTTGGACAATGAACTGTTTATTGAAACGTGAATCATAACAACGCATTCATAGTTGAGGTTGCATAGTTGCGTGGGTAATATGGTATGAAGTTTTCTCAAACCGTTTGACTACGTGTTGTGAGTCTCAGCTGCCAAAGCAATCATGACATTGATTGAGTTATAGGAAGCCGATACAATCTATTCCTCTATATATCTATATATCTACACACACATATATATATACATATATAGAGATATATATATTATATATATATATATATATATATATATATATAGTACATGTATATACATGTGTGTATATATACATATATATAAATATAAATATATATGTATATATATATATTTATCAATTCTTTATTGTGATATATTTAGGTTCAACCACTCAATTTAGTTACCACGTGCTTCCCTCGTCTTGTTCCTTCCATATGTCTATTAGCACTTTAGTGTGACACAGTTTGGTGCACCTCTACATCCGTGTTGTCCTTCGCTTCGTTCTACTAACACTTGAGTGTGACCTTATTTGAACAGTGACGGCAATGCAAAAGCGCACGCTCTTCATCCAAACCCAAGATACACCAAACCCAGACTCGCTCAAATTCTACCCAGGGTATGTGTGAGCATCTGTCGATTGTTTGTATACAAAGCATGCGTATACGTTGTCTAGCTTATTTATGGAGCTACGATGAAGATACAGCCAACGCTGGCAGTGTATGATACATATTCAGGATGGTTGGCTTATGCGATGGAAGTCTGTGCATGCCACTCTATCTGTGGAATGTGTTCTATATATAGTCTGTACATGCACCTCTACCTGTAGAACGGATCTATCAGTAGAATATGTTCTGTATATAGTTTGGACAAGCATCTCTACCTGTAGAACGGATCTATCAGTAGAATATGTTCTGTATATAGTTTGTACAAGCATCTCTACCTGTAGAACGGATCTATCAGTAGAATATGTTCTGTATATAGTTTGTACAAGCATCTCTACCTGTAGAATGAATTCTATATAGTCTCTGTTCATACATTTCTATCAGTAGAATGTGTTCTATATATAGTCTGTACATACATATCTACCTATAGAATATGTCGCATATATAATCTGTACAGTTATCTCTTTCTGTAGAATGTGTCGCATATATAGTCTGTACAGCCATCTCTTTCTGTAGAATGTGTTCTGTATATAGTCTGTACCTACATATCTACCTGTAGAATGTGTTCCATACATAGTTTGTACAATCGTCTCTATTTGTAGAATGTGTTCCATACATAGTTTGTACAATCGTCTCTATTTGTAGAATGTGGTCTATATATAGTTTGAAGAGCCATCTCTACCCGTGGATTATGATCCATAAATGATTTATACATACATCACTATCATTAGAATGTCATCATTATTATTAGAATGTCATCGCTATCATTAGAATGTCATCTATACATTCAGATTGTCATCTATACGTTCAGAATAGTCGGCCTAATCCATAGTCGCAGCATGCTCACAACTAGCATGTCCGTCCCATCACAGACAAAACATCATGGAAAGCGGACAGACATACTTCTTCAACGAGCGCAAGGACTCGGTGAATTCGCCCCTGGCCATGAGTCTGTTCATGGTGGAGGGTGTGAAGAATGTCATGTTTGCCGATGAGTTCCTGACCGTGTCTAAAGCGCCCGAGTATTCGTGGAATGAGGTATGTTATGTGGTACATTTGTCCTTTCGATGGCGACACCAAACCCACACCGTCCGGTGTTGCTAATTGCATTCATACATCGCCTATGATTCTACTTGTCCCATATTGATTGGTGCTTTATCCCTTTTTTGTTCCTTGTTGTTCAGGCTAAGCCAGAAGTGTCTATTATCCTACTTGTCCCATATTGACCGGTGCTTTGCTCCTTATTTTTGCCCTTGTTGTTCAGGTTAAGCCCGAGGTGTTTGCGGCCATTATGGATTTCTGTGCGAGTGGTGTGCCCGTGTTCAAAGACGGAGTGGACATCAGTGGGTCTGCGGCAGAAGATGATGACGAGATTGTCATCATGATCAAAGAACTGCTGGACACCAGAATCCGTCCCGTCATTCAGGAGGTGAGTCATGTATACCTCGTGAGCACGAATTGCTAGCAAATAACACAGCACCTAATTAGCCTACCGTGCAAGCATGGTGAGTGCATGGGAACACTGTGCCAAATAGTTGACACACGTATGTGTTGCTTGTATGGGGCCTTTTCTCTCCAAGCATTGGGTGGTGACTGGATTTACTTCGGGGTGGGATAGGTCTCGCTAGCATGCGATGTTGTATATGTGGTGTTCTTGAAGAATGGGTCTTCACTCTGCACGTGACATGGCGGGATTACTACCTGTAGATATCAGAGAAGCATTAGTCTGGTATCCAGCCAAACCGTTTCTGGAACACGTCTGTGGTTTTGTGCGGTGTTATATTGTGGTTACATACGCGCACGCCAGATGACGTAGGCTGGGAATGCCTTTGCTTAGCGTTAGTACTCGTTGAGCTGTCCCTTCGGCACCTCATGCGTGTGTCTGGCCCACACGAGTTTGCTCACGTGTGCATTGATCGTGTGTCACACGAGTGTGCTCACATGTGCATTTCTCTTACACGAGTGTGTTCACATGTGCATTTCTCTTTCATACAGGATGGCGGAGACATCTCGTTTGGACACATGGAGAACGGCATCGTCTACCTCAAGCTACACGTATGTCTCACTACAGTCAGACGTTATATCTTGTAGTGTTTTTGAGTAGTTTGTCTTGCAATATCTGGTCTCAAATTGGAAAAGCCTTGTATGGTCTGCAAATGGTTTTGCTGAATGCGGCGTATGTCCTGCTACACTCGCATAATCGTACGTTGTAGGTGCGTGTCACTTGGTGTGGGGCGGGTTGTACCTTGACACTGATTAACATACAGCAGCTGCGATGCTCCGTTGCAGAGTATGCCTATCATACTTGATCACAGTGCAGTCAATACTCAATAGCGTTTTAGGTCGCCTGTATTCGCCTATTATCAATGTCCACTTTTTTTATGCAAGCCTTGGCATTTTTTTTTGATGCATCCACCCTACTTATTATTGTCCATTTTGCATACACCAACACTTGCAGGGTGCCTGTGGTTCGTGTGCGTCGTCTACGGCTACGCTGAAGGGTGGGGTGGAGAACATGCTGATGCACTACATCCCTGAGGTATGGCAGGGTTTTAGGGTTTATATAGGGTTGGGTGGAGAATATGCTGATGCACATCATCCCTGGGGTATGGCAGTAGTTCCATTCGTGATTGCTCTCCCTATACGCTATGGATTGGCATTTGTTATGTTTAAGTGCGTGTGCTTGGATAACTTGGCGGAAGTCCTCTTTCAATTGGGTTGAATCGGTGTTTGGCGTTTGCGTTGTGTTGGTGCTGTATTTTGTCGTATGGAGCTTTTATGCCAATGTATCACCTGTTATTATTTTATGTAATCCTCCTATTCTATCATTCGCAGTACAACTCTACTTGCCTATTACAGTTTTCATCTATTTATTTAGTATACTGGAGCGTTTCATGACTCATCCAGTAATGATGCTGCATTTTGTATGCTCAAGCTATAATGGGATAAACAAATGAGTGTCCACCGCCTCTAAACGTTTAAGTGCTTAATCTCATGGTAGCGGTAGTACAGTCAGGTGGCAGTCGCAGAACCTGTGCCGTGTTACGGGGCGTGTTGCGTGCATTGAAACGGTTTATTGAAAGGTTTCAAGTTTGGTTGTTCTTTGCTGTTCTTGTCCAAAAGGTTGAGGAAGTTGTGCGCGTCTCTCAAGTTTGGCTGTTCTTTTGTTATTCTTATCCAAAAGGTTGAGGGAGTGGAGCGTGTCTCTCAAGTTTTGTTGTTCTTTTCCTATTCTTATCCAAAAGGTTGAGGGAGTGGAGCAGATCTTTGAGGAGCACGAAATTCAGAGTACTGAGGCCTTCGAGAAATTGGAGCGTGAGTTGCTGCAGAAACAGTTGAGCAGATAAACGAATATTCATTCGACGAGTTTTGGAGATAGCTTCAATTTTATTTGAGAAGAGTGTGCGTTGCTATGGTTACCCATGTTGGTGTGCATGCTCTGATTGCCACTGGACAGATCAGGCTAACGTATGTAGGCAAGTGGTAGTAGAGATACCTTGTATTGGTTGCGCCGCCGGTAGCATGTTATGTTTGCAAGTTTTAGGTCGCTCACAGTGGAACCGCACACTATGGCCTTCCGAAACTATCCTCTTTTGACACTCGGACTAGCGAATGCGATGCTTGTCGCGGATGAAGAATAATGCTTGCACAGGTTAATCCAGGAACACCTAAGGACAGCAAGTAAAACAGCCATCTACGTCTGATCACTATACGATATGATTGCCTGCACTAGGGCCGCTTCACAGCCGACTCAGTCGCTCGCCTCTTCATGGGATTAGTGCCGAGAGTCACACGTATTTTATAGTGGCGACATGACCACCAATCGACACAAGCGAAATAAAGTTTTTTACCGTTTTATAAGAGAAAATGCATCGGTTTCCATAGTTTTATGTTTAAAGAGGCTAAGCCCTTGCATTGAGAACCATCATGTGCTGGATTGTGGGTAGTATTGATTTTCTGACATTGTACGATTTTATCTATACTTCATTAACTTTTACCGTTTTATGACAATGCTTCGGCTTCCATAGTTTTTGTCTTTGATGCTACGTGCTTGTCCCGAGGATCATCATGTACTGGGCTGGGTAGTAACGATTTTCTGAATTGTTCGATTTGATCGACAACCACAAACAATTACCGCTATATGAGGGAGAATGCTTTGGAATTATAGTTTTTTTGTCAAAAAGGCTACGCCCTTACCTTGAGGATCAACATGTGATGGCTGGGTAGCATTGATTTTCTAACGAGTACGATCTATGTTCGTATTTTTTCCCGTTTTACGAGAGAAAATTCTTCGGCTTCCTTTGGTTTGTCTATGAGGCTACGTCCTTGCTTTGAGGATCATGATGTGCTGGGTTGGGTAGTATTGATTTTCTGAGATGTACGATTTGATCTATATTTATCAACAAAGCAGTTTTATGACAGAAAATTCTTCTGCTGCCGTAGTTTTTGGTCTATAAAGTGTACGCCGTTACCCCGAGGATCATCATGTGATGGCTGGGTAGTATTGATTCTTTGAAATGTACGTCTGAATCTATTTTCTTAATATAATTTACCGTTCTAAGAATGAAAATGCTTCGGCTGCGTAGTTTTTGGTCTAAAGAGGCTACGTCCTTGCCCTGAGGATCGTCATTGCGCTGGGCTGGGTAGCATTGAGTTCCCGACACGTACGATTTGATCTACGTTCATTAATATTTACCGTGTTATGAGAAAGAATCCTTCTGCTTCCTCAGTTTTTTTGTCTGAAGATAGTACGTTCTTGCCCTGAGGATCATCATGTGCTGGGCTTGGTAGTGTTGACATGTGCGACTTGATCTTTCATTAATATATATGATCTTTCATTAGTATTTACCATTTCATGAGAGAAAATGTTTCGGCTTCCAGTATTTATTGTCTAAAGAGGCTTGTTCTGAAGAAGGTAGCTGGGTCAGGTAGTACTGATTTTCTGACATGTACGATTTAATGTTCATTATTAATTACCAATTTATGAGAGAAAATGCGTCGGCTTCATAGTTTCTTGTCGAAAGAGGCTAAGTCCTTGCCCTGAGGATCATCGTGTACTGGGCTGGGTAGTATCATGTAGGTTTGATCTATGTGTAAACCATATTCTTTCAATCAATACTTCTATAGCTACTTAAAGATTGTAGTTAACTGGTATTTGAGTTGCGAGTTCAAAGGCCAATTCATGACCCTCTGGAGGACAGGGCTCTCTCTGAAGTGTCAGAGGGAGAAGATAGATTTTTCATTTTCTTTCTCCCTCCAGAGGCTCATGGGCGAATTGAATCTTATCGCACAATCTGAAACAACTATCGAGCACTCATGAATGAATAGCTCGCATTTGAGTAAGTTTAACGACGTGGAATCCTGCCGAAGTGCTGTTAATAGAAGTACAGCCGATTTATTAAGCTCAAGGTGATGGAAAGAAGTAATGCCGGTTCATTTAGCTCATATTCAAGAAGCGTGGTGGATGGAAGTAATGCCGGTATATTTAGCTCATAATAAAGAAAGGTAGTAGATAGAAGTATTGCCGTGTTATTTAGCTCATATCAAAGAAAGGTAGTGGATGGAAATAATGCCGGTTTATTTAGCTCATATTAAAGAAAGCTAGGAGACAGAAGTATTGCCGGTTTATATAGCTTATATTAAAGAAAGGTGGGGGATGGAAGTACTGCCGGTTTATTTAGCTCATTTTAAAAGAAGGAGGTGAAGTGGAGGAACTACATTTCTGTGTCGGGTCAAACTGGGCAAATACCACGCGCTGGTGTGAAAAATTACTCTTAAGATTACTGCAATACTTTTTGCCACCAGGCGACAAATTCTAAAGAAAGAAAGCAAGTCACTTGGTGATATTTCTAAATTCTCACCGTTTTATACGAGAAGCTATAGTAACCATATTAAATTGCAAGTAAAGTGATTATTCTTTTACCTGTGCCTCGACGAAAAAAGGTTAGTGGTATGTAAACGTGAAGATAGATTTTGCCACATCTAACGCAATAGTTAGGGTGCTGAACATCTGACCGGAAGCCTGCAATTAGTCATAAGAACGGGATGCAGATCCGAGGGAGGGGGAGGGGCAATGCTGGGTTAGCCGGCTTGGGCCTTTTCGTGTTGTTAGAGGCATGCAAAGTGCGCGTTTTAATATCTACCCAGGCACAGCGGGGGCATGTCGCAATTGTGTATGTGTCATTTTGAAAATGAGGCATGGCAAAAGAATATGCAGAGTATGAACAGCGTTTAAATCTGCATTAATTTTATTGTAAAAATGCATCCTATGACGAACCACTCTCTAGTCTGTGCGGATTCCGGACAGCAAGTACTGCCTTTGATCATATGCGATCGCTTATTAATTTGAATTTAAATCGACACCAAGTTCACAAGTTTGTGCGTAATAACCATTCCCACTTCAACGACTCACTTATTTTCCCGGGCTTACATTAAAGCCATTACTCTTCTACTCACTGTGTTCGTATTAACCTATAACATTACAATATAAGCCCATGTGTTTCGTGAACAAGACTCTTTCATGAGGCAACTAGTCTTCCCAGCACCTGCCTTTGCAAAATTCAATACAGATACCTACTCTATGTTGCTGGTGATTCCCATTCGTTCCCTACTTTCAAGACATTGATTGTCACCGCCAGCCCCCGCTGCTTGTAGTGAAACAATTCTGCATCATGTTGGCTTGAAACGCACTACAAAGTTTAGAAGCTAAGTTTGGCTGACGATTTATTTATAGCTAAATAGTACTTGGTTCAGTGAATAGGGACCTACATCCTGTATTGATTGCGTGGTTGACTGATAGGTATATTGTCGCTAATTTTCTCTTGAGCTTGTACCATATCACCGACAGACCCCAGGTACACAAAGAATCCTCGATCTCGCTTT